CACGCACACACAACCCTAATGTCTACCCCTTATACCAATAGTTTGCATCTGTGCTTCCTCAGGAGGTCAAGGCGGGTCAACCTTGAGGCCTCAGCATTCCTCATGTAGTTGTGTAATATCCCAGAAACTCATTGTTTCTCATTTTGTTTTCTTAATTCAAACATTTACCCCAAAATTAATACATGTTGGCCTGGAGATGTCTGGAGATGTTTAACTAAACTGTGTCAATAGTTCATGTGCTCAGTGAGAAAGTGTTGACCCACCCTATTCCCCTATTTTTTTTACATTTAGTTTAACTGCTTTCCAGTTTGTAAGTCAGAATTAGAAAAGAAAAATATTGACCCTTCAGAAAGAAATTCTTACTGAGCTAAAATTGGCTGACCAAAACATGCCTCGTGTGTCAAAGTAGTTATGTAAAATACTTAAAACATGTGAAGCAGATTGGTCAACATGTTCATTTGGAAGGTTCATGAAGGAAATCATAATGCAGACTGATCATCACCATATTTCTCATGTAAGACAAAGCTACACATTAAAAACAGAAGTGAAAGGAAGTCTACTGAAACTGTAAAATAAAAAGCAAAGGACAAAATGTGAACATGTGTGGTTTTGTGACACATTACTTAGAACAACTCAGCTGTGGGAGTCCTTTAAGGCTTCACCACTCCCAGTGCAAGTCGCTGAACTCTCAGACAAAATAACAACAGTTCAGAGAATCTGTAGCCCATTTACACCCACACAGTCACAAAACACGCTGGTTTTCAAAGACTTATCATCATTGGAAGCTTCCACTCTGTGGAAATGTGTGAAGTGAAAGTCAGAAAAGTGCTCCTTGTTGGAAAAGTGAAACAGTCATTAAGGGTGGTTCAGATGAATAAAAAAAATGTGCTTGGTAAATTTTAACAGTTTTTTCAGGTCAGTACCACAAGCAGCTCAAAATGTAGTTTTAGTGTTGCACAGTGAAAGTTAAGATTTTTTGATCTGTAGTTTTGGTATGAAAAACTGAGCAAATTGTCATTTTTATGTTTGGAGAATTCAATTTAGAATTAAGTCCCAAAGTTAATCAGTTGTAGATGTACAGTATAACTTTTCATTAGATAATTTGCTAATGGACAATCAGGGTTGACTCCAACAGTTAATGCAAATATTTTAAGCAAATATTTCAGACGAGTCACACTTGAAATTGTGTTGTGAATGACTCTCAGCTACAACCAGACGAAACTGTACACTAGCTATCAAACTGGTTGAATTGTAGACACCTTTGTGTTTTGTAAAGTCAGCTGGCTACAGTGGCCATGTTAAATTAGATTGGCTTCAAAAGTTAATCTGTTGTAGACATATATCCAACAATCATTCCCTGAAAATATTAATAAAATTTTTGCTAACAAAGTTGAATCCAAATAGTTAGTAGCAAAAATTTCAACACAGTGTGGTCTGTAAGCACTCAGAATATGTTTTGGAGATCAGCCTCAACTACTACCACATTGAATTATATATCAATATTTGTCAGTCTGAAAGAGCTACAGTATAACCCTTGTGTTTTTGATGGTCGGTTGGCTGTGGCAGCCATCTTGAAATGAGTCAACTCCAAATGTTAATCAACTGTACATTTAATCAAATTTAATCCCAGTTTCACTAAAATTCATCCTGTGGTTCATTAGATATTTTTCCCGCAGGCAGTAATCAACATTGTGATGTAGAGTTTAAATTAATTCTTTGCATGTCTCTGATACATAAAACTTCCACCTGCCTCATTAACTGACTTCACTTATTTTCTCTTATTTTCTTTGACCTGTGCCTACGCTCAAATCTACTAAAGTTGTTTAAAGGTGAGCAGAAGCTTTTCACACATATACCTGGTAATTTGTGGGGCAGTGTTCAGAGAACAGGTCCTCAGATCACCTGTTACCTCCTGATGTAAGCTAATTGGTTTTCACAAAGGGAAATGGTTTTTACAACACATTCTCATTCAAAATAAGAGTCTCTGCAGCAGTTTCCTGTTTGTAGTGTCATTGTGAATTGAAGAAAATATTCTGTATCAGTGGGTATTGAAACAAGAAACTGCAGTCTAGTGCCATCACTCTAAAATTTTGCATTTGTTAATGCTTTATTTGCATTCCAGCATTTTGAGGTTGTGCAGACTCCTTATAATAACATGTGGGGAAACGTTTTATTGGTGTAACTGTTAATCTGGTCAACAATAAAGGTGAAAATCATTAAACCTAATACTGGAGCAGTTACAATAGTGTTTGACAATAGTTCAATCCCTACCATCAAAAACTTAGTGAGAGAAGTTAAACTTTTTTTATTATTGTGAAGCCTCTTTATCAGATTTTATTAGACTTCAGTATTTTTAAATCATTTTTGTGAAACAGAAAAACTTTTGTAAAATGACTTACTTAAAACTGTTATTTAAGGCATGGCATTGCTTGTAAAAATGGCAATGTCTGACCACTTTTTTGTCAGTTTTAGTCTAAATTCTCTACATAGTGAGAAGTAATAAATGTGGGGTTATTTCAGTCAAACGTAAAAAATAACATACTGATATGGAGGTAAATTTGTG